CCCCCAAGTTCAATAATAAAACAGTTCCCTGAATTATATCCAAAACCAGGGTTATCCGCATTGTAGTCCAGCATGACAACTTGACTAACTGTTATAAAGTATTGCATTGTTTTGATTTACTTGAGGAGGCAGGCTGCTACAACCCTGAATGTAAAGAGCCAGTTGGAGATGAAAAAGATAACTTTCCAAAGCAAGAATAGAACTTACGTCTTCTGCAAGCGATGACAAAAAGTCTAACCATATTACACCGCAGTCAAACCTGCCCAAAATTGATTCAATAGCGAGGGTTTTTTGTATTGTTTTTGGGGGGGGGGCATATTTAGCACATTTATTTAAATCTTGAGGCTAAAATAAACTGTCCAGACTCCTGCCCCTTCAAAGTTCAGTTTTCCCGAAAGGAATTATTTCCCCAAAGGCAAAATCCACAGTAGCGCAGAAGAACAAAACATAGTCAAACTCACGTGACCGATTCACATCGTGCCACAGGGGCATTGACTCTTTAGAATCTGCCTAGAATGTTTTCTGTCAAAAACTGAGATGGCATCGCATGGCATACGTGCCAACAGGCCATAACCGTTAGCAAAACAGAATTAGCTGAGGCAGCTGGGAATAGATGAAGCACACACAGACACAAGTAAAGGTTGAATTCACTGAAAAAGAGTACCCATTTCCTTGAGAATGAATGTAGAATTGTGTACTGATTTTCATCAAATTAGAGAATACTACTGAATATACAAGATTTATTTTTGAAATGTAATATATGCACATGTACTTGGTATATAGTGAAAAACAACGTGCCAAAGTATCCAGCATTTTTTTTCTCGTAGAGACTATCAAAATGACTTGTAGATGTGATAAGGAAAAAAAAATCAACTTCATCCCCCAACCCACCACAGATGAATAAAATCTAAGTCCTGTACAGTGTTGCTGGTTTAGGAAGCCTTTTATGACACTTGCAACACAAACAGGTCATAATTAATATAAGTGGGGAAGATTAGAGATTTTGCAAGTGAGTAACAAACACAAAAAAAGAAGAGGAGGAGAAATAAGGACGATAGACGTTTGATATGAAAGAATGAGTAAACCACATCAGAGCACCCGCCCGCCACCCACTACCCTATTGCATTTCCGAAAGTCACATGAAAAATGAATTACTTTTACAACGGTTTCTACCTACTGACCCAAACTTTGTGAGGCTCAAACAAATGTAAATTTAGTTAGGAGTAATAAAGACAAAATCAAACCTTACCGGCCTGAGTAAATCAGCATCCATCATAACAATAGAGCAAGTTACTCGAAAGTTACGGACGTTTAAAAAGTACTAGTACATGCTCACTATATCAAACGCCACATATGATAAAGCACTCTTTTTCACACAAAGAAAAAATCTATTGTTCATCACTGCTTGACATAGCTGAGAAGACTCTTAACTCTCTGACAAGAAACTCTACGCTCTGCCTCATGAAAGAATCAAGATTATGAAAAGTTTAGCCACACATCTAACTAATCCTTGAGGTAACTTATTAGAGGTGGAAATCAATAGGCTTTTGTCAAGGTTGTGG